GGGGGGTGAAGTGTGTTTGATGGTAGACGAAAGAAGGGCAAATAAGAGGGAGTGAAGGAAGGGGGCGTTTGAGAGACGGGGAAAGGAAAGGGAGGAATGGGACGGTGACGAGGGAGTAAGTTTGAGAGAAGTAGAGACGGGCAAGAAGCGCGAAAGAGGCGATGAGAGGTTGAGAAGAAGAGGAGAGGAAGGTGGTTGAAGGACAGGAAAGGAAGGGGAGGGGAAAGAGATACGAATACGAGAACTTTACATGCAGCACGTTGGCACTAAATCACTTTAGACAGTACAGGTTGGCTGCCTCTTTCACACACACTCATACACACAAACCCACAGACACCCACAGACACACACACACACACAAACATCGACACATGCACACACACAGACACACAGACACACAGACACACACACACACACACGCACACACACACACATGCGCACGCGCGCGTGCTCACACAAACAGAGAAACACAGAGAAAGAGAGAAGAACAAGACTGACTGACAGAGACAGTGAGACAGACAGACAAAGATATAACATATTATCTCCCCCTAGTGTGTCCATACCCTCTGGATCCTCGTCCTCGTCATAGCCTTCCAGCTGCTCCTGTGTGAGATGTGTTTTCAAGAACTGGGCGAAAGGCCCATCGTGGGCCAGCAGCTCCTCATAGGTGCCCATCTCGCTGATCTGGCCGTCACTCATGACCACGATGGTGTCCACCTGGGGCAGGAAGTGGATGCCGTGGGTCACCAGGATGCGAGTCTAGGGAGAAAAAAAGCAACAACAAGTCAGCGTCATTGACAAAATGACTGTAAACATTGTGCACCTCTTTCAACATATTGCTGTGGGTTTTTTTTTTAGATAATCGTTTAGGAAGTGGACGCCATGGATCACCAGGATGCGAGTCTTGGGAGAACAAAAAAACAACAACAACAACAAGTCGGCGTTATTGACAAAATGACTGACTGTAAACAATGTACACCTCCTTCAACATATTGGGGTTTTTTTTATTTTAGATAATCGTTTAGGAAGTGGACACCCTATATCACAAGGATAGGAGCGTGGAAAGAAACAAACGAACAAAAAAAAATGTGTCAAAGTAATTCACTGATTGATTGTAAACATTTATTTATTTTCGCCTCACTCAACACAGTTTTGAATCATCCTCTAGAGGATGGATGGAAACAATAAATCAATGAAGTTCTTAGAATGACTGTAAACATTTTACGTCTCCGCCAAATTAGTTCAGATCATCTTTTAAAAGATAGACTGAAAGCAAGTCAAGGTAGTTCACTGAATGACGGTAAACATTTTATGTCTTCTTCAACATTTTAAAAAATCATTATTTTAGGAAAAGAACAGCCTGTTGCGGCCAATCTGAGAAGTAAGAAACACACTCGTAGATAGATAGATGGAGGTACTCCATTAAACTTTGTCACATTAACTGGCGCACAGACCATGCGGGCATATTGACACGCATATCAATTAATTTGAACATTGATAAAGTGGATAAAGAGAAAGCGTTGTTTTTCAAGTCAGTATGTGAACAACTTTTATTCAGTGTATTAAAGCCACATGAAAACGCGTCTGGTGCCAAAATTTTGAATACATTGGCGCATTCTATCAAAAATTATTCTGAAACAAAAGAAAACGTTTTATTTTTAAAAAAATAGACAGCCTATACTTATGT